TCTTTTGCGGTCTAGATTTCTACTTTTTTTCTTTTTTGCGTGCGTTACCTCGAGGGCCGTATCAAATTGTCTCGCGGGACGTATACGGCCCGGGGGCCGGAGGTTCCCCACCCCTGCATTAGAAGGAAGATAATGATATAACTGAAATGCATTTCCGATGAAGTAAAGGTTTATTAGTGTATAAGCGTTGACATATTTGAACTGCTGTTTTTAGAACTTTTTAAAGACTTAAAGGTCCCATGTCATTGTCCTTTTTCTGCATGTAAACGGTCTGCTGAGTCACAAACCCTCAAAGTACACCCTGTAGCGAGTAAAACTCTAACACAGAAAGGACCTGTCTATGCTGCCCCAGAACGGCTCATTGGGGATTTCTCTTTTTCTTCCCGTTACGTTAACGGCTCCACGGACTCACACAATCTTTTCTCAGCTGCAACTCCGCCGATTTCTCCTCCCTGAGACGGCGGGACACGGCGAGGCTGTGAGTCGATGTGTGAATACACACACAAACTCCCGGCCAGGCTACGAGTCGGTGTGTGTATGTGTTCGGGCTGGTTTCGGGCTGGGTTTTGCTGTGTCTCGCTGTCTCGCAGATGGCCACTGGGCTCACAGGGGGGGGGGGGGGTCAGGAGCTCCAACAAGATTTAAATTCCTCCAGTTCTTTGCAAAAAAAGCAAAAGCCCCTCTTATTCAACTTGTAACCCACTAGAGAGGTCCTGAACTCTTTGGTGCTGCGATAATGTTTTTGCTTTATTTAATAATTGTTTTATCTATAAAACATCAGCTCATAGTATAATAATCCCATTAAAATGTACTAGGGCACCAGGAACCATCACATTTTTCACTTTCTGCTTGAAAAAAAAAAATTACCAATCAATCAATAATCAAAAAAATGTATGACTAATCACACAAATGTTGTCCAAAAGACACATTTTGACGTTTCCCTTCATTTTTCCCGCAGTTTGATCTGACTAAGCAGGCAACGGCTACGCCTGCTCCCCCCGTGGGCTCGGGGATTCTGGAGGACGGAGGAGACTTCAACCCCCCCGAGTCTCCCCCGAGCAGAGACTTCTTCCCGGACTATATCGTGACAGTGATCGTGCCGCTGATCCTCGCCATCATCCTGTGTCTCCTGCTGGCCTACGTCATGTTCGGCAGACGAGAGGGAGTGTATGCATCAATCTGTTGAAAACAAAATATATAAATAATAATATACATATAATGCTAAGTTGGCCAAATAAAAAAAAACATTCCCCTTGTAGACATTCATGCAGCCACAACAATGCAATATGTACCACTGGAGGGGGAATACACACATTTCTGTTTTGTAGGTGAACTGACCCTTTAAGGCAAGCCCTTGATTGATCCTGATATTCTGTGACACAGAGGTGACATTTTTCTCTTTTTCTCTTAGTCTGAAGAGGAATGCAAGAACGAACCAGTAAGTACATTTTTCTCTGTTCTCTGATTGAATACAGACTTTACACAATGTATCATCTAACTAAAGATCCATTCGTCCTATGACTAAAATCCTTCATGCGGTAAGACGCTACGAGGTCATTCTGCAACAGCATCCTCCAACCACCTATCCTCCATGACCTCCACTGGTTACCCATCAAATACCGCATTGACTTCTCACCTACATAGCCATCAACAACCTGGCACCCCCTACCTTTGTGACCTTATCACACAACACACCCCATCTTCTACAGCCAATCAGGAACAAGCTCCGGGCATCAGGGTCTTTGCTGCAGCCTCCCCTCCCTCTGGAACTCCCTCCCCAATCACATGGGAAAGGCCAACACTTTAGCATCTTTCAAAAAAGCCCTCATAACTCACCTATTCACTCTGCCTTTCAATCTATAATACATTTTTGTAAAAAAACATATTATGTAAGGCTGAAAAACTTGTGTTTTTAAGCGTTATCTACGAACCCATGGATAATTTTTTAGAAAAAGCACATAATGCTGTATGTGTTGTTTTGTTTGCTGCAGGATTCAGCTGTACCACCACCACACCATCCACGGGAACACTGACGAGCTGAGGAACATGGCGGGACAGCGTAGTTCTGCTTCTCCTCTGTCCACACTGCCCATGTTCAACAGCCGCACTTTGGAGCGGGCCCCACTGCGGGGTGACAGCCCCAGCATCCCCCTCATCCTGGCCCAGCAGTAAGGACCACTCCCACTGATGCTTTATTGTCATACCAGCATACTGCTTCAATAATAATGACCTCTTTGCATATCGATGTTCAGTTTTGCTGATTTGTTTTTGTTCTCCTGTTTTCGTAGTGATCCATACAGCGACACGCTGCCCAGGTAAAACCACTAAAGTGACTTCCTCATACAACACTGCATTCATTCTTCTCTATAATTGAAGAATAATCTTGAAAATGTTTGAATGTTTTCAAGAACATTAACTCATTACGTTGTTTGTTTTTCCAGGAAATGAGAAGATGGATAAAGCCTAACCTTAACCCTTTCCCTTTGTTACTCTGAGTGTCATTCATACAGTCTATGGTTATATATTTGCAGTGGTAAATCTTTTTTTTTTCTTAAATTAAAATAATAGTTTGTAAAGTTGTTATTTGCTGCCTATGACTTTGTTTTTTCCGCCATCTTTAACTGCCAATAAAAAAAGATCAAAAGTCACATTCTTCATTGTTGTGTCAAAGGCTGAGATTTGCACTATTTCTCAGGTGTTTTTATTCTCTAATTGACACCTTACTATTGTTTTAAGACAGACTTGAAGCGTTGTTAATCTATTTTTAAGGCTTTTTACAGACATTCTTCAGTACTAGTGGATGTTAACGGAGAAGCACTCATATCGGAGATTCTTGGCAACTTGAGCAAGGTTTGGTTTCGATGTATTCCTCCTGTGATCTATTTTTCTGATATAATTTGACCTCTTTGGACCTATTGTCACTTTGGTTAAGATCAGATTATCAGCTCATTTTGCATATGTTCATGAGCTACCTTTGTTTGTTTGTGTTGCTTTAAAGGGTCACACTCCATAATAGTTAAGACCCACTGCTCAATTGCATTCAAATCATCTTTATATCGCTATAAAATAATATTTCTTCAATCTTTTCTCAGAGGGCGACATATTTGATCTGGTTTTGGTGTTGAGGCAGTGAGACCTGACCACATGAAACCACCAGAGGGCAGTGCAGCAGCAGGATTCTTATTGTTTTGATTCCGTTTTAAACTTCCCTTTAAGTTTGCATTGTTGCATTGAATATCCAGCAGGGGCCGGGCTTCATCTAATATGGGAATATTTTTGGTTCAACAAACATGTCCTCCCTTGTCAATTTAATGCAAATTCCTTATTTTTTGGGGGGGGAATCAAAACATGTAAAGTGATATTTAATGCAATGGATATGTGTCTTGTTAACACTTTCATTTTATACTGTTTTAGCTCAAATTCCTAAATATATTCTGATTCAAATCAGCAGCGAATGTATGTGTATTGATAAGAAAAGGCCAGGTTAGATTATATATTGGCGTTGTTTTCACTGCTGCTTAATAGCAATGTACTCAGTGCAACTGTAGTGGAGAACCCTATTTTAACTGTTTTTTGATGTGGCATCCATGTTTCCAACTACAACATGTGCAATGTAGCTTTAGTGTATTAATTATTTCCTAAAATCTTAACACCTGATTTTAGTTTCACAACAGTTGCAAATCAGGACAGTGAAAACTCAGCCACTGAGTAGACCACTTCACATGCTTTATTTCAGCACCCAAAATAATTAAAAACATCTCAATTTATTATACATGTACAAAATAAGTACAGAATCTCTATTTTAAACCATGAAAGTGGGTCTGCTTCAAATTATTTTTTAAGAAACCCTTCGCGAAAGACATCAACAAACAACATAAACAACAGGGTGGAGATGTGTGCTGTTTTTTTTTTTTAGTGAAGAGGAGTTTTCCCCGGTGGGCAAACAGACAGAGGGATCAACACTGAACAAATGTGCAGGGGGAAATGATATTTAACCAGAGTCACTTGCTTTTTATCTACAAAGACATGATTGCATGCATTACATCTGCAGTGATCACCTTTTCAGAACACTTAAGAAGAAAACAATTGCACTGCAGAGACAACAAGACATGAGTCAATTTAGCACCGGAGGTTCTGCAGGCATTAGTGGCAATAATTACAGTATGACAGCGAGAGATTCACCATCAAACACCAATATCTGGACCTCAATTAAATGGTCATAGCACCTTTTGAAGGTTTTTTTGATTTCCCCACAATAAACTTGTGTAAAATATTCCCTTTTCGTTTAAGAAAAAATACGGTGGTGATTTCTTGTTTTTGAGGTAGCCATCTACGTTTTGCAATGAAGGTGAGCTTTTTGCTCTTTTGCTGGTCTTTGTCTGAGCCTCCTTTAAGAATTTAATACAAGAAGACACTTCACACTTTTTACAATTTATTTAACACCAGAAAAATGGTACACATCACTTGTTGTTTTCAATGTCCTTCCGCAGTGGTAGAAAATGGCAAAAGTCACCTGTGTTTCATTGCGTGTGTGGATCTTTTTTTTTTTCTTAATCTCCAGGGGGACATTTTACACAAGCATATATTATTTTCTTGTTGCCAGTGGAAACAAAAGATTCTTTTTAAAGTGTCCTTGTGGTTGGTTTTGGTTGAAGTAGCAGTCCCAAAAACTTCTCATGATTGTAAAAACACAAACATGGTCTTCAGTAGAGTGGTTTTAAAGCATGTGGGCCAATGGCAGCCGAATGAGTTTTGAATGCATAGGAAAAGGGATTTAGAGATGACTGCTAGAAAAAAAACAACAATGTCATGTCCAAATTTCGTTCTTTTTACAAGAAGCAGACGGGGCCAACTTCGACGCCAAATTCCTGATCAGGTGCACCAACATCCATAGGAGCAATGTCAATGATGGGCAGGCGAGATGTTTTTGATGTCTTGTAGTCGATGACTGTCTTGCCCCATGTGCCAGTGTGTGACTGTGGAGAAGAAGGACAAGGAGGAAAAATCAAAAACTGCGTCTCTAAAGGATGATTTTACATTTTCATTTTCCTAATTGTGTGTGCTATATAAACTTTTTTACAGTCTAATATTGTTGCTAGTTGCTATTTCACTAGTTAATACTGTAACAACACTGTTTTTAAATAACACTGTGCAAAATCTACTGTGGATGTTTCTGATTCTAAATGCAAGCTCCTGAACAAACTTACCGTGCAGCCATCCTCGCTGACGCTGTATGTGAAGCGGCTGTTGCCCTCGGCTCTGATCTCAACGTCGTTGGTTCCCTGGAGAAGGAGGGCCTTCTTCAGGTTGCCGGTGGCGGAGTCCATGTAGGCAATGCTGTTCTTGCAGTGGTATGTCATGTTCTGAGATGCCTGGTTGGACATCAGGCGCATGAAGGTCATCTGGATGTTGACATCGTCGGTATCAGCTCCATCGCTGCCATACTGGAACTGCGTGGCGAAGGAAGGAGAAGGGTGCATTGGTTTAAATTACTCTGACTTAAATACATATCCAATGGTCTGATCAGTTCACAAGGATGATTCGGAATTCTGCAACTTCTTACCTGGGATCCGCCAGTCATGGACTCGCTGAACCAGACGTGCTTCTTCTCTTTGATGTTCTTGCTGAGGTACCAGTTCTTCATGGGGATGCTGGACTCGCTGGGGTAGACGCAAGTCTCACCACTCTCCATGTTGCAGTGGACCTTGATAGCATCAAGAGGAGATCCCTGGTTGGGGTCAACCCAGAACATGTCTGTAACAGAAGAACATACAAAGCGGTTTAAATCTGAGCTCATCCCTATTATCCATCTCCACAAGCTGAATCGGGCTCTGATCTGCACTCACCGCTCTTCCATTCGGGGTGGGCCATCTTCAGGTCACGGCACATGCGGACTGGGCTCTTCTGGGTACCGTCGGGGCTTTGGATCTTCTCGACCTTCTGGGTCAGGGTCTTGAGGGTAGTGTCAACCTCCATGTCACGATCGCGAACCATGTTGGGGTCATCAGCGCGGTAGTGGCCGCCGCCGCGGAAGGGATCGGGTCCCTTCTCCTGAATAGGCTGGCTGACGAAGTCGAATCCACTGCCGGGAGGTCCGGGGGGTCCAGCGGCTCCGGCAGGTCCTGGAGGACCCTGTACGAAGACACAAATAGGTTTACAGACTGCAGATTCATATTCAGAGTGTCTGAATGTATTTGCTTATAACAAAGATGGTAGAGCAACTTACGGAAGGTCCCATCTCTCCATTGCGACCACGAGGTCCAGGGGGTCCGATGGGTCCGGGCAGGCCGTTGACACCCTCCTTACCGGGGGAGCCGTTAGATCCAGAGGGTCCCTATGGAACAAGAGCCACATGATCACTTAATGAGAAGAAAACATCTACACGTTTTTTTTTGTCAAACTGGTGATGTCTACCTGTCACTGATTACGGTGATGTGTTGTACTGAGAAATTGTTGGGAAAATACTTTCTTAGATTTTTTCCACCAACTGCGTAGAACAACCTGCAAACTGAGCTTAAACTTAAAAATATAGCAACCCTGAATGAGTTTAACACTGGTGAAATATATTGAGTCAAGGCTATCTGTGCAAATGTCTTATCTGATTACTATAACTCAGATATATGTGTTTTAATTATTTAAAAAACGGTGTTGTTGGTCAAGTCTATCTTGGATCTCAATAGGACTAAGGGCTAAGGCTAAATAAAACCATACATAAGTCCTAAAAGTTCCTAACAGTTTTGATGTGTAAAACTGCCAAATGAGTCAAGTAATTGGAAGTTATTATAACACATATAAAACTGCAAATGGTTTTAATGTTGTTTGTTTTTTACAACTGACAAATGCTAAAACAAGACTTTTCCTGGCAAATCCTCCAAGTTCCCCATTGGTAGTGACTTGGCATTTTATGTTGTTGTTGTTTTTTTTCTGCGGGTCTACTTACTCTGGGTCCAGCAGGTCCAGAAGCACCAGCAGGTCCTCTCTCTCCAGATCCTCCCTAGAGGCAGAAGAAGATGTGAGTATCAGATATTACCAGTTTTGCATTTCAGGAAAGAATGTTTGAATATAAAAAGGAGAAAAGTTTAGATTAGTTTGATGCAGTCTTGTGTACACTTATAAACTGTCACTCACGGAGGGGCCGGGAAGACCCTGCATTCCGGTGAATCCTCTGTGTCCCTTGTGTCCTCTGTCTCCAGCCTCACCAGCCTCTCCTCTGTCTCCTCTTGCACCAGCAGGGCCCTATATGGAAGAACAGGAGGTCAACATGGCTTTTTTCTGGTTTTATACGCCTATGAGTCGGAGCAATATCTCAAATCAATGTTTACAAATGATGCTTGTAATGTGAAGATGTACATACAGCGGGGCCACGGACACCAGCAGGGCCAGCAGGGCCGGCATTACCAGCGGGGCCCTGAGAGAGAAGAGAGTGTAGAAAAAAATCAGATTAAACGTTTTCTTCAAAGCCAGTTTTGTTATAAATATTCTAAATGAGCAGGAAGGAGACTTACAGACTCTCCACGGTCACCAGACTTTCCAGAGCCGCCGACCACTCCGGGGGCTCCTGGAGCACCAGGGGGTCCTGGGGGTCCAGACGTACCAGACTCTCCACGGTCTCCCTATAGGAAGCATATCTCCAGTTAGACAAT